TATTACCATCGAATAACGTTACAGCTTGACATTTTTGGTTATTATCACCATGATGTCTATCAGATGTTGCCATACCTAATGAATAGATGTTGGTATTTGATGTCAATATGATGTTGGTTTAAGATGTTGACTCGACGTTGGATTTTGGTCACTTTCTAACAACCTAAAATCAACCAAATATCAACGACTAATAATAGTACAGTTTGAATTTGTGTGGACGTTACCACTATGACGTCTATCAGACGTTGGATTTTGGTTGCCATACCTATGAATAAATGTCAGTATTTGTCGTCAATATGACGTTGGTTTGAGATGTTGGCTCAACGTTGGATTTTGGTCACTTCCAACACAACCTCAAATCAACCAAATATCAACATTGAATAACGTTACAGCTTGACATTTGTGGTTATTACCACTATGATGTCTATCAGATGTTGTAATTTGGTTGCCATATCTGACGAATAGATGTTGGTACTTGACGTCAATATGATGTTGGTTTAAGATGTTGGCTCAACTTTGGATTTTGGTCACTTTCCAACAAAACCTAAAATCAACCAAATATCAACATCTAATAATAATACAGCTTGACAATGATAGATATTACCACTATGATGTCTATCAGACATATTAACCAAATATCAATGTCATCTGATGTCGCTATTAGACGTCAAAATAACGTTGACACTGGCTAGACATTGAATTTTGGACACCTGACGTCACAACCTAAATCTAACCTGTATTAACATCTTATGATGTTGTGTGCCTGCTGGGAAACATTTTCTAACGAAGTTAAACAACCAAACATGTTAAAACTCAAAAAAATAAAAATGAAACAGCCAAAATTACATGAAACTCTGCAGAAAACATTGAATAGCAGGGCTGATGTAATGATGTTAATTGATCTATGTGCTATAACATGTAAAACAATATCATGATGGGAACATTCCTGTAAACACCTTAATCATGTTATTGTCTTATTCAGATTAAGGCAAATATTTCCATTACTGATGTCCATGTAAACGTAGTCATTGATAATATGTCAAAGCTAAATAAAAGTGAGGGTGTGAATTTGTTTGTTCGTTTACTGTGAGATTAGATTACATACTCCAAGGGCAAATCATTTGCGTCTGTCTTTGAATCGCCCTACACTCCTCAATCTATTTGGCTTGTGGGCAAAATACAAAATGAACAGCCGTTTTATGTCACAACCTGAGTATAATTTTCAGGTACTTCTTAATCAAGTTGTCACCTCGGACATGTCGAGGAAATTTAATTGATAAGGGGGAAGTAGGGGGCAGTAAATAGTTGGATTAGACGTAGATGTCAGAGTGCAGGGAAATAAGCGGCACCGATTTTCAAGTGCTATGAGTCAATTGTAAGCTTTGAACTGGCACACTGAGTCTATTGCAAAACACAATGGACTGTTGAAAAGATTAGCCGTTACATGAATTCCAATTGAAGTGCAAAATGTGGATTTCAATCAGTCCTCAACAGTCTGGTAATGCTCTAGTGACCTGTCAGTCATGTCCAGAGTTTCTCTAGCTACAATAAAACTATTGAGGAGGTGAGAAAACAAAAACAAGAATCCCACTCTCCTTACATGCACTTGGAGTTTAACTGTTAAAAGTCATGTGTGTACTTCCTTTGCTGTTTAAAGACATTCTGCAAGCCCATCTACAACTTTATATGAGCTATTTAAAGGCTGGCTGGGTTTTTTAGATGGAGTATTAATAGACTGTCTGCTTAATGTTGATACAGACATTCAACAGACATTTAACTGACTATAAGAAACTTTGCAAGTACATGTCACAATAACACTAACCCCAACCTAAGAGTCTACTTATAATCTAATGAGAATGAGTTGACATGTAGATGCAATGTAGCTTAAATTCAACAAACAAACCATCAAAATAAAGTGAGACCGGCTGGCTAAATGCAAATTATGTGGTGGATGAGCATTTCGACGTGTGCCAGAAAACTTGGCAGGACTTTTAGACAGGAGTGCCTGTTTCTAAAAATAAAAAAAGTTAGACAGGGTAGAAGAGCACATCAGTCCCTCCAGGATTTTGCAAAAAAAAAAAAAAAAAAAAAAAAAAAAAAAAAAAAAAAAAAAAGATTTTTGTAACTAAAATGGTAAGTTTTAGCTAAATCTGAGGAAACTTTTTATTGTTTTGCTTTGAAAATACACACATTTCATGCATGCCTGGCAAATGATTTGCCTCCTTGTCACACAGAGTTAAAAATACAGTTGAAGTCAAAATTATTCGCCCCCTTTGAATTTTTTTCTTTTCTAAATATTTCCTAAATGATGTTTAACAGAGCAAGGAAATGTTCACAGTATGTCTGATAATATTTCTTCTTGAGAAAGTCTTATTTGTTTTGTTTCGGCTAGAATAAAACCAGTTTTTAATTTTTTAAACACCATTTTAAGGTCAATATTATTAGCCTCTAAGCTTTATATTTTTTCCAATAGTCTACAGAACAAACCATCGTTTATACAATAACTTCCCTAATTACCCTAACCTGCCTAGTAAACCTAATTAACCTAGTTAAGCCTTTAAAGGTCACTTTAAGCTGTATAGAAGTGTCTTGAAGAATATCTAGTCTAATATTATTTACTTTCATCATGACAAAGATCAAATAAATCAGTTATTAGAGATGAGTTATTAAAACTATTAGGATTACAAATGTGTTGAAAAAAATAGACAAGGAGACTAATAAGTAAGGCAGGCTAATAATTCTGACTTCAACTGTATCTAACGCTAATACATTGTTGACTACTACATCCGAGAATTTATGCAGCAAAATCCCAGGAGGATTTTCCAGATGCCATTTTCTTTTGCCACGAAGAGCAATAAGAAGAAGCAACTGGTGTGTAAAAGTACTAAAAATTTTTATATACGGACATATGACATCCAAATCGTTATATATATGTTTTAAATGTCTTTCATATTATATAATAGGCCTTTCATATAAGCCACTTCTGATACCAAATGATCATTTAGATGTCAAGTTATTATGTGTAGTTCCTAAAACTTGGATAGGCCACAAGGCTTTTGTCAGGTAGTCTATGTACACCCTTCACCTTAAAACAAAGGTAAAACCAATAGCAGAAAAATATCCCAACGGTATATGTAAGATTTTTATTTATTTTTTTGTACATGTTTTTATGACTCTTTTACTCATTTGTTTAGGTATCTCTAGCAGTAAAGAACCTTTATCAAATGCTACCAGTCAGCAGACAATTCAGAAAACCAAATCGCTTATAAACCAACATCCAAGCATGCTGTGGAGCTGAACAGTGCAGTGGCTTTACTTTATTTCCAAAGAAAAGAAAGATTTCCAAAGATGCCTTTTCAGGATGTTAAAAAAAATCTGTGATTTTAAAACTAATGAAGACAGCAGAAGTCAATGATTTATTTTAATTAATTAGCCTGACATGTTTACTGTTCCAAAATGTTTCTTAAAACAAAATATATAGTGTTCAGTGGGGGAAAAAGTAAATTGTTTACCCAGACATTTTTAAGAGCAGCAATCACTGTGATACCATATTTTCCGTATCATCAGCATCTTATACCAACTCATACCTAGTCAACAACAATGAAAAAAATAAAGCTATCCAAAGAGAAAAGCCGTCAATACAAAGCACAGTATCACCCCGCTTGGTCAGGGTAACCTTTTATAGCCTGGTTGGGGCTGACTGTCATGTACCCAAGGTAACGTCATGTCCAAGCACGCCATCCCACAGTTTTCTGGGAGCTGACAAGCCATGGGCAGGGGAGCCTCTCTACAATGTAGTGTTACTCACTCACCATGAGACATTCAGACAGTCGTCATACACAGACCCTGGCCAAATTAGCCCTCAGCCTAATGCCACATCTTCTCTTTCCAGAACTCACAGAAGAACCTGAGCAAATGACAGCCCCAAAGACACCCCTACAATTATGCTGCTATAGGGGTGACGCTGTTGGACAATAATTAGCTTGACAGAAAATAATACCTCCATTTTCGCAATGATCCAAACACACCAGCCGACTTTTAATGACCTCTCCTTCCCGAGGACTCTTATATATCTCAAACAGAGAAGCTGTGGTTCAGCGGGTTACAGGTTGGTGTTACAAAAATGTAGTTTTATGATTTTTTGATCACACTTTACATACAATTCTCACTATTGACAAATGATTAGGTCTGTCTTTCAGCTCAACAAACTCTTAATTTTCTGCTTGTCAATAGTTAGTAGGATAGTAGAGTTGGGTTTGGGTATTAGGTAAGATATGGCAGGTGGAATAAGATCATGTAGAATATGTAGTAATAATAAGTACTAATTTACATGTAAAATCTTAATAATAGGTAAGGAATAAGCCCGTGAGAATTGATCCCTATAATAAAGTGTAATCAAGTATTACAATTATTTCCAACCCAGGCTCATTATTGATACGTACCCCTGTATGCATTTCTGGACAGCACAAAATGCATCCCAGGAGATATGATTTTTTGTGAATCCACCAGAGGCCGCTGTGTTTGCTTTTTCAGATCTCAAATTTCTCTCACGAATTCCATTTGCACCAGACTGACTGCCTGACTGACCAACCCTTATCCCCACCTACCCTCTTCCCTAAACCCAACCAACTGTGTTTTCAAAAGCAATGCAAATAAAAAATAAAAAAAAGTCCTGGCAGCTTTGTGATTTTTACCACGTCTTTAGTTCTTACCGTGTTCTCATCCTGTTATTTACCTTATTTTATGTTTTTGCCTTTTTTTTTTTTTTTGGTACCTGCTTTCTGGAACCATACTTCACTGGACTTGTACCCAGTGCTTAATTTCAGCCGGATCATATGTTTTTATGACTCTTTTACTCATTTGTTTAGGTATCTCTAGCAATAAAGATCCTTCATCAATTCAGAAAACCAAATCGCTTATAAACCAACATCCAAGCATGCTGTAGAGCTGAACAGTGCAGTGGCTTAATTTCAGCCGGATCTTGCCGGATCCTGTTCTGGAAAATGTCCAATATTCATGTTTTGCATTCTGGTATTTATTTTAATGGATCCGGCATTAGCTTGAATACTTATGTGTGTGTGTGTGTGTGTGTGTGAGAGAGAGAGAGAGAGAGAATGTGTGGATTGTGTGTGCGTACACATGATGGTAGTCACCATGCGCAAGTTAAAGCAAAACTATTGGCCCTCAACAATATTTTCAGTCTATCAATTTTCTTACGACACACAAATCTGTGTAGCGCTCCAATATTTTTGGCCGGCAGCAAGCTCTTTCACACAATCGCCCACTGAAGCTAAGCAGGCCTGCACCCAGTCAGTACCCTGGATGGGAGACCTCATGGGAAAGCAAGGTTGCTGCCGGAAGTGGTGTTAGTGAGACCAGCAGGGGGCGCCCAAGATGTGGTCTGTGTGGGTCCTAACGCCCCAGTATAGTTAAGGTATACAGAGTGCAGTCTTTCGGATGAGACGTTAAACCGAGGACTTTTTGTGGTCGTTAAAAATCCCAGGATATCCTTCAAAAAAGAGTAGGGGTTTAACCTGTCAAAATCTGCTCAGTGACCTCTGTCCATCATGACCTCCTAATAATCCCCATTTCAAAGTTGGCTTCATCATTCTGTCTCCTCTCCACCAATCAGCTGGTGAGTGGTGTGCAATATGGCTGCCAGTAAAAGACAGTTCAGAAATGTAATGCTCTATCACTGTTAAATGACGTCATGTTACCGGAAAACTAAAATTGTTAGGTGGACGTTGGTCACGGTAACTTTTATTTCTTGGTTTTGTTGGAATTATTCATTTACAAATTACACACTGCTTGAACCCTGTCATCGCAGTCAACTCCTCTCTGCGTCTCAAGTCCGCCAACGTATGTGGCGAGCTACTGAGCAAACTGATAACAGCGGAAATGGCATCCACACTGAGGTAAGCGTTCAGCTGGTGGCACGAAAAGAAACGGAAGCTGTCAGCGGCGTCATACCGCCAAGTAGCGTTCCTTTTAAAGACCAAACACAGCCATTCGTAGCTCTGGCGAAATAATTCCTGATCTCCAAAATGCATAAAGGGGTATGTTTTCACAATGAGCCTGTGTTGTTTATTTATAAACATGTTATAAAGATAAAGTACATATTTAAAAATTTACTTTTACGTATTTAGAAGTAAGACCTCCAGACAATCGGCAGCAGTTCAACTCTCATGTACCCAATTGAGAGCAGCCTATCCACGGCCAGTGATTCTGGAATCTACTTCAGGATCTCATATCTCTGTAGTTGAAAAATGGTATATATAAAGTATGTAATTTGACTTATGTCAATCTAACGGGCAAATTGTGGTCTTGTGAACCTATTAACTGTTTACGAATTCCGCATATGTCAGGGCTCAACAATAAGGACTGCCCGATGGCCCGGGGCCAGCATGAGAGATATTCGGGACAGTAGAGAGAATCGTTACTGGCCCGATCAGGCCAGTGCTGCCTTGTCATCAAATTTGAATTTGCCTGCTACTATGTCAATCGTGCGCAAATAGTCTCAGAACCGAGAAACAATTTGTGCTTTTAAGTCTCAGAATGCTACGTTTTCTGTAAACTCGTAAACCCCCTTTTGCTTTTTGGTTCCTTTTATCTGATTGGTTGTTGTGAGCACGTTATTTTTTTCCACAACCTAGTAAAAACCAGAACAGTGAAGAGACGACAACATCAAATGATGAGGCTAAAAGAAAACGTCTGTTTCCAACGTTGTGGAAAAAGATATTTACATGGGTACAACACAACAAAAAAAATGAAGTGATGTTTTGCATAGTTTTCCATCACTTTTAAGTCAGCCACTTCTTGTTTAGCAATAAAATACCTGCACATTTTCCATACTGCTGTATTTTACTGCTAAATATTTTAACATTTTAAAAATATTTAAATTCTAGATTCAAAGACATTATTTTTGACACATTATTCAAAATATGTGGCTAAAAAAATTGCTATTTTTTATTTATTTATTTATTTATTTTGGTGGGGCCAGTGAAAATTTTGGCAGGGCCAGTAAAAATCTGAACTGCTGGTCCAGTCGGGCCAGTAGAAAATGTCCTTAGCGTTGAACCCTGTATGTGCTATTTTGGTGTTAGGAAGTGCCACCAATCGAAGACCTTTGGTTTACAGTAGTTGAACGCTGACTATACAACCCTTGAGCATATCAGAAAGCTAACCTGATAGATAACTCCAACTAAAAATAATATATTTCTAATCTATAGTTAACTACTTATGTTCTCTACACTGCAAACAACTCGTTGTGGGCTTCAGCAGGTCCCTGAATGCATTCGCTGTCACAATGCACTGTTGATTTCACAAAAAAATAAACCACAATGCTAATATTACATGGCATCAGAGCTGTGAACCATTCCATTGGATTGATGTAGTGCAGATTCATCACCCATGCTAATTTGCCAACAAATGTCCGTTGACTTTCTACACCCAATCAAATGCTGTTACACTATTCCAATGCAACACAAAGGCATGCAAGTATCACAGCCTTCCGATCGCTTAAAAGACCGCAAGACTTTCTCAAACTCAAAGATCCTGCAAAGTTGAGAAGATGTGGCGTCAGGGTTAGGGTCAAGAATGCACAGGCAGTCATACACATGTCATTCTGCCATTTTTTGCACACGGGATTAGACTTACCTGCTTGGAAGCCCTGAAGAGTCAAGACAATGGTGGTTACGGAAAGAAAGTTTAGCATGCAACTACTGTAACAAAACCCCTTGATCCTCAACCCACATCCACTTTCAAGTCCCACACAACCCCATTCGCACTGGCCAGCAACCAATTCGCTTCTAGAACTACATGCACAGAGGCACCCATGCATCACAGTGGGCCTGACAAGAGCAAGTTGAGACCCCCAGCAAAAGAGTGGGATGTGTGATAAGAGGGGCAGGCAGAGGCGTCTACCTTGCTGCATGAGAGCTCCAACTCCGAACCAGAAACTATTTAGCAGGGTGAAATTGTTTTCCACCACGTCCGAGTCGGGGTTGCACGGGTGAGGGTTATACCATTCGTAGGGGCTAAACCTGTGGCGAGCAACACAGAACACACAGATATATTTTAGTCCCGAGTATGTGGTACAGAGATGGAATAATGAAGCAATGTAGGTGGGTCAACCTAAAGAAACACAAGAAGAACAGGTTAGCACAGTTATCAGTTCATTACAATAGATATCAGGAGGAATATGGTCACTTCTATTGTTGTTGTTGTTGTTGTTGTTGTTGTTTCTCTCTTAAAAAGATAGTTCAGTCAAAAAGTAATTATTCTGAACTTGTTCCAATTAAGTTTGTTTCTTTCTTCTGTTTAACACAAGAAATGATAGTAAAGGATGCTGGAAACCTGTAGTTATTGACTAGTTTTCTGAGTTCTTCAAAACATACAGCTTAGTGTGTGAAACAGATTAAAGAAACTCATAAAGGTTTGAGGGTGGGTATGTCAACCTAGGCTCATTCTGAAAACGTTGCCCTATATACATTTCTGGAGAGCGCAAATTATGTAGCCAGAGGTACGTATGGCTGCATTTCGTCTTTAAAACGAATGCTTTAGGGCGGGATGACGTTGCTCCTTTTCGAGCTACCAGCTGACTGCTTACCTCCATGTGGACGGTTTTTCCACTTTTACCATTTTGTGTAGTGGCTCGCCGCATACTTCAGAGGATTTGAGATGCAGAGTGGAATTTATTGCAACAATGGGGCTCGAGTGCGGTGAAGAATGGTTTCAGAAAGGAGGTAAGACAAAACCAAAAGCCAAAAAATAAAATAAACAAGTGAATATTAGGGTGAGAATGTGGTAAAATCTGAGAATGTGGTAAAAATCAGGCTGCCTCAAGGGCTTTTTAAAAAAACACTATCGGTTGGGTTAAGGGAAGTGGGTGGGCGAGTCAATCTGCGCTTTTGAAAACACTATTGGTTGGGTTTAGGGAAGAAAGAGGGTGGGTCAGTCGATCGGTCAGTCAGTCAGTCAGTGAACAGCGGCCTCTGGTGGATTTGCAAAAACAAATGTAGCTCCTGGGATGTATTTTCTGCTCTTTAAAAATGTGTAAAGGGGTATGTAATCAGAATGAACCTGGGTTGGAGTATTTTTATTTATTTATTTTTTTGGACGGTAAACTAGCCCTTTTAAGTTACAACTTCGAGCCATTTACAAGTATGTTTATAATATTTTTTTTTAAAAAGTATATATATAAATATATATATATATATATATATATATATATATATATATATATATATATATATATATTAGTTTTTTTTCATATCAAAGGCAAGCATAACCATGAGTGCAAATACAGAACGCATGTGAAATTTATATTTTTGAATTTGGACGTATTAATTAAGATTAATTGGACATATTAATTAAGAACCTGAAATTATATTTTCTGAATGCATTTTAGAGTTAAATAATTTTGATTGTTTTAGTAATTGAACAGCTTGATGCTGTCAATATATTAGTAAACCAAAAGTACAATAAATTTTTTTAATGGATTAATTGCTAAATAACAGCTGGACTGCATTACTACAGATCTGGATGGGGATTTATTTAACGCTGCACTAAATGATTTGCCTGTGGTTAAGTAAGGATGCATCACATATATTGTCTAAACCAGGGTAGTGTTACGCACTGCTGTATGCACAATGACACTATTCCGAGCGGGTCTTCGGAGATACGAACTAGTAATGGGAAGTTTGGATCATTTTACTGAATCTGTGAATCATTTCCTTCAGTTTGTCAAAAAATTGTTAAAAAAAAAGTTGCTTCCAAACTCATTTAAAACTACAAAAAAACGTTGATCACACTACAAAAAACTCACCTTTATTATGATAGGACAGAGGAGATTTCAGACAGGAAAGCATTGGGAACAGAGAGAGTGGATGGATCGGCAAAGAACCTCGAACTGGGAATCAAACTCAGGTCGCCGTGAGCATGTCAGTGCTACATGTCAACGCACAGTACCACTAAGCTATTGGCGCCAACTCTACCTGTCTTTTGTCAATGATTAAGTCAGCTCACCTCTTCTGAAAAGTCTTTAAATTTGAGTGGTTGATTCACATCACACAGACAGTCCCAAATAAGCTTAACCAATGCACACAGCCATTGTAGTTCACCTTTCAAGTCTTCCCGTTTTCGAGTCATTTGTTAATCACATGACAGCATGTAAAGAGAGATGAATCAACCCAAAGACTCGAGAAATGAACTGATCAAATCTTTTTCTGGCTCTGACTGCATACGATTGGCTTCTGTGTTTCACGTGATGAACGAACAACGCAAACTGCGGACTCAAGAGATGAACAAATCAAATCTTTTTCCGGCTCTAAATGCATATGGTTGGCTTCTGTCTTTCACGTGATGACCGAACGACACAAACCTGATCTAAGATTCGAAAATGGAACCAATCTTCTACTCCATCCGCTCAAATGTGTGCATGCGCAAATGAATGAACCGCTCCCTGAGAGCACTCATCATTCTCGAGTCATACAAAAGAATCGTTCAAAATGAAAGAATCGCTCAAGAATGACTCATCACTATAATTCATTTAGACGCCCAGTAGAAAAGATCATCCACACCCTATGCCTTGTTCTGCACTCTCTCTCTCACACACACATTGAGACTTCCCATTTACTCCAGCTAAATATAAGTGACATTGCATTAGTAAAGGTTGATTGGGCGACAATTAAGTATTGTGACCCAATTCTGTTTGTGCTGAAGTGGTGGAATTAAAAAAAAGCATCCACAGGCATTTATTTCACAGTTGTGCAATCAGACGCCAAGGAGATTATTTGTCTCAGATATATTTTTATTCTCCATTAAGACTCTGAAAGTGAATTGATTGACTTTCTAGAGGCTAATAGGAGACTACGAAGTGTTTTTTCTGCATCTAGAAGTCTATAAGCTTTGAGTATACAGCTATCGACTTACTGATTCACATGATTGCGACAGAGTGAGTGTATGGTTAACGATTCACTCATATGATCAGATCAAAGTGCATATACAGTTAATGGCTGCGTCCGAAACCGCATGCTTCCATACTATACAGTATGCTAAAATCAGTATGCGAGCCAAGTAGTATGTCCGAATTCATAGAATTTGAAAATCAGTATGCGAGAAGTACCCGGATGACTTACTACTTCTGGCGAGATTCCGGAGTGCGCATCCCATGCACGCTGTGCTATCCCATGATACCCCGAAATCGAATTCATGAATGGGAGTAAAGTGACGCAAATGATGCAGGTACTTCATGTGACTATGTCAAAATGGCGGATGTAATACGTCCGAATTCCATTCATACTTTTCACATTCATACTGTATAGAACGTACTTTTCTAACGGCCGAGTAGTCCGCTTAAATTCAAATGCAGCACCTACTGAGTAGTAGGCGGTTTCGGACGCAGCCAATGAGTCAGTGATTCAAATGATCAGGTCAGAGTGTGTCAACAGTTAATGACTCACAATGAGTCACATGGTCAGATTAGAGGGAGTCTACAGGTAATGACTCACTAATTTACATGATCAGGTCAGAGTGAGTGTATTGAATTACTCACTGAGTCACAAGATCAGATTAAAGTGAGTGTACAGTTAATGACTCACTGATTCACTAGATCAGATTAGATTGAGTCTACAGTTAATGACTCAACGATTCACATGCTCAGGTCAGAGTGAATCTGCAGTTAATGACTCACTGATTCACATGATCAGATTAAAGTGAGTCTACAGTTAATGATTCACTAATTCACTTGATTAGAATAAAGTGAGTCTAAAGTTCAGAACTCAATGATTTAAATTATTCAGTCATAGTGAGTGTACAGTTAATGACTCACTGATTCACATGATCAGATTAGATTGAGTCTACAGTTAATGACTCAACGATTCACATGCTCAGGTCAGAATAAATCTACAGTTAATGACTCACTGATTCACATGATCAGATTAAAGTGAGTCTACAGTTAATGATTCACTAATTCACTTGATTAGAATAAAGTGAGTCTAAAGTTCAGAACTCAATGATTTAAATTATTCAGTCATAGTGAGTGTACAGTTAATGACTCACTGATTCACATGATCAGAATAGAGTGAGTCTATAGTTAATGACTCACTAATTCACATGATCATGTCAGAGTGAGTGTCCAATTAATAAGTCACTGTTTCACATGATCAGATCACAGCAAGTCTACAGTTAATAACTGACTGATTCGCATGATCAAAATATAGTGAGTCTACAGTTAATGACTCACTGATTCGCATGATTAAAATATAGTGAGTCTACAGTTAATGACTCACTGATTCACATGATTAGAATAAAGTGAGTCTACAGTTAATGACTCACTGATTCACATGGACAGAATAGAGTGAGTCTGTAGTTAATGACTCACTAATTCAAATGATCATGTCAGAGTGAGTGTCCAATTAATGAGTCACTGTTTCACATGATCAGATCACAGCAAGTCTACAGTTAATAACTGACTGATTTGCATGATTAAAATATATATTGAGTCTACAGTTAATGACTCACTGATTCACAAGATTAGAATAAAGTGAGTCTACAGTTAATGACTCACTGATTCACATGATTAGAATAAAGTGAGTCTACAGTTAATGACTCACTGATTCACATGATTAGAATAAAATGAGTCTACAGTTAATGACTCACTGATTCACAAGCTCAGGTCAGAGTGAGTCTACAGGTAATGACTCACTGATTCACATGATCAGACTAAAGTGAATCTACAGTTATTGACTCACTGATTCACATGATCAGAATAGAGTAAGTCTGCAGTTAATGACTCACTGATTCACATAATCAGATTGAAGTGAGTCTACAGTTAATGACTCACTGATTCACAAGATCAGATTAAAGTGAGTCTACTGTTAATGACTCACTGATTCACATGATTATAATAGAGTGAGTCTACAGTTAATGACTCACTGATTCACATGATCAGATCACAGTGAGTCTACAGTTAATAACTCACTGATTCGCTAGTTATTTTTAGTCTATATTTATTTATTTCCCTTTGGGCTTACATACAATT